CTTTTATTCAAAACGACTTGCAGTACATTGCATTAAAAGTATACATTTAGTCAATTTATGCATGTCAATTTATCCCATGACACTGGTGTTGTTTGTGTCATGTGCTTACAAATGCATAAATCACAAATGGCAATAATACATAAGTAGATCTCAAATCCAAAATAGGAAACCCACTGCAAGTGCAAATATAGTGTACTTCTGATGTTGTTGCCACAAAACGTATAAGCAGGAAGTTACTGTAGAAATAATGACATTACATCTTTGCTGTCATACAACTCTGACAGCAATTCAGTTACGTCAAGACTGTAATGTTGCCACTAGCAAGCCTACTGTCCAAATCATCACAAGCAGTTACAAAATGGTAAATTGGAAATGATCGATTATTAATATTAACTTTAAAATGGAAGTACAGGTGCTATTTTGGCACACTATGGCTGTTATCACATTATTCAGTAATTGTTGATAATTGAGAAGGTTACCTGCCAGGAAATTGCTATAACATGTAATTAGCATTAGAAATAAATATTGCAAACGTGTCTTGAGGATTTAATTAAATATGGCTGGAGTGTCAGCTGATCTAAACATTACTAGAGTTCATTCCAGTGTGTGGTGTAGACCTTGTCAAGTGGAAATCCTTTAGGAAGGGTTGTGTTCGACTTAGTTTCAGATCGAAGGTATAAAGAGAAGCCATCTGGCAGTAATGTAAGCCAAGAATGTACAGTCACTTTTGGGTTTGAGGAACTTTCTTTGAGGAACAAAGACAGGAAGTTAAAGGACGATATTCTGTTTCAGCAAGATGTTATCGCAACATAAGTTCGTTAGATCTCTCGCTTTTGCAATTACAATCAAACCACAAACAAGAGTATCTGCTAACTGAGAGGAAATGGTTAAAGAAGTGAACTCAAACAATTATGTTATCATTTAATCACCCTCATGTTCCAGCACAATTTCCAGACTGACTTAACCTAAAAGAAGATATGAGACATGTTTCAGCATGTTTTTTTTTTTTTTTTTTGGACGTCAGTGTTCACCAAAACAGTTTGGTTGCCAGCATTCTTAAAAATATCCACAGATGACAGAAAGTCATATTGGTTTGAATCCGTGTATCATTCGATCATTTATTTTTTTATTTAATATTGAAAGTAGAAAAATTAGAAAACGGCTCCTTTTTCATTTTTTTGTTTTTTTCCAAAAAAAACGAAAAACGAGAATTCAGCTTAAATTTTAGTTTTTCGTTCACGGGTAGAAAAATTGATAAACAGCTTGAATATTCGATTTCTACATGTGGGCGGGAATTAAACGCCCCTTTCTGCTGATTGGTCAGCCGAAGATCAAACCGTGCCTTCTTCAGTTCTTCCGCAGTATCACGCAGCAGAATAATAGTCCTCCACTGCTGCAGTTGTACGGATTAATAATACTCAATATTAATTTAAACTGCTTTAAATATGACTGCTGCTTATTTCCTGTGCACTTCTGCGCTTGACTGTATTCGCGTCTGTCTGTTTATTGAGTTTATTTAACCCATCGCAATTTATTGGAACTGTGTGAACTAGAGTGACTACTCACCTTAATGTTGTTCTAAAGGCTTATTACTTAATAACACAAAAATGTCCTGCTCGCACTTGCCAATTTAATGGCTCACGCCACGCACAAGTGCATATCCTTTTGAGATATCAATTATAATCAATTTTAATAAAACACAAGACTACATTATAAAACTCTAACAGTAGGCTATTTAATATATGTTGTTCTCCGGTTGTCAGTCAAAATGACAGTTCTTGCATGAACATTATAGGCCTATATATACCCAAGCCAATTTATTATTCCTTCCTTTATGTCTTAGTGTTTAAAATATTTATTTTGAAACAAATTAATTAATTAATTAAACAAACAGACTTACTGGGTGAGCAGGGTAGGCTATGACAGCTGTGATATCATACCCTGCCATGCCAGCTGATGCAAAGAATATAATTTATATCTACACAGAAGAAAACCCTGTCTAGACTCTGCCCCGGTATGAGTTGTGTCGAGCTATTCATTAGCCTGTTTGTTTGATGAAAAAAGATGAAATGTAGTTGCAATAAATGTGCTAAGAATCAATACAACTGCAGCAGCAGATGACTATTATTCTGTTGCGTGATACTGCAGAAGAACTGATGATGGCACGGCTGACCAATCAGCAGAAAGGGGTGTTTAATTCCCGCCCATGTGTAGAAATCGAATATTCAAGCTGTTTATTCATTTTTCTACCCCTGAACGAAAAACGAAAATTTAAGCTGAATTCTTGTTTTTCGTTTTTTTGGAAAAAAAAGAAAAAACGAAAAAGGAGCCGTTTTCTCATTTTTCTACTTTCAATATTAAATAAAAAAACGAATGATCGAATGATACACGGATTGGTTTGGAATTACAGAATTTTCATTTTAGTTTTTTTCATTTAGCTCTGACTTGTAACAAATGTAATTCCATCTCAGTATTTACAGAATAATAGTTTTGAAAACATTTAACAATATTTTTATATTGATCAAACGTTGAGAGAGAAAATTACATCAACCCTTGTGGTTTTCACAGAAACGAGTAGCTTTTCAGGGTTATAACTGAGGATAGAAGTTCATCCTGCCTGCTTGAGAGTGTGTGGGAGCCTTTGAAGTGCAATCTTCCCCACTGGCAGTTAAGAGACCCTCTTCTGCTTCCACTCTAGCCTTCTGTTCCAGTTATGACAACATGATTGGAGCCAAATTTCATCTGTGTCTGCATTTCTAACAACCTGTATATATGCATGTTTGCATGCATTTGTGTGAATGCTGCAACACAGGTATTGACAGCTGATTATTGCTGTTACAGCTCCAGCTGCTATGTGACCATTAGTAAATACACTTATAGAATTTGTATTAGTGTTAATTTCGTTAACGAAAACTATGCCGAAAAATGTTCGCTGACAAGCTTTTTTCCCATGACTAAGACGAGATGAAGACGAGATGATAATAAGGTCAATAAACGATAACTTTGACTATATCAACATGCAGTTTCGTTGATGCAATAAGATAAGACTAAAATGTATTAAAAAAATTAAAACTTGACCAAAAACCTCTTTTTATTTTTGTCAAAAAAAAGGAGACAAAATTTTTTTGCAGACTGCTCTACACGCCTCTACTACGCGAGCTTTCATGAGTGCGGCTGCCAGATATCAAAAGATCAAATCCCCGAATCAGAGCTTCGCTGTTACAATGATACATTTTCTGCCCCGTGTTTTGCTTATTTTAAGCAATCTGGCAACCATGCCCAAACGCTCGCTCCTCATTGCGGAAGTGCCGCCGCCGATGATCTGAAAACACCGACAAACAAGCTGGAGTTTAGCGATCAAAATGAAAGTGTCACTCAGCCGGTCTGTGTTCTGTCATGAGATCTCGTCTGTATTGTTTGCGATTGTGGTTGCTGAATAAATGCACTTACTCAACCGCTGTTGTTTTAATAGAGAAATAGGCTGTTGCAATTTGGACTTCGTGGAATTACAAATTTTACTATTATAAAACGCTATTTTTCATTTGTTTTAGCAGTTTTCACTACGTAGACATAGAAATTGCATAAGTCTTTTGTATTAATTTATATAATAAAAAGCCTATAATAAAGCAGTACTCTTGATGGGGTCAAATACACCATGTATGAGTCCACATTCTATTGATCTGTGCTTACTGGTGAAAGTGCAATACCAGAAATGTTCTCAAATGACAACAATCATTATAATTATCATTTTGAGCAAAACTCATTTTTGTCAGTTTACCCATTATACAGCATGATGACGAAAACGTGACTAAGATTTAATTGACTAAATCCTGACTAAAAATGCTCATACATTTAATTGACTTAAACTTGACTAAACAAAACAAGGTTGACTAAATATGATAACTAAAATGTACATTTGAGTAAGACTAAATTAAAAATGGCTGCCAAAATGAATACTGCTGTACGGTTAATTAATAGTAATCTTATTTGCTTAAATGTCAAGTTTTCATTGACTAAAACAAGACTAAAATACTTTAGATTTTCTTTGACTATACTAAAATACTTTAGATTTTCTTTGACTAAAACTAGACTAAAATGTTGAGACTAGAACTTGACTAAAACTAAATAGGATAACGTTGACTAAATATGATAAAAACTAACAAGGACATTTACCACGGGACTAAGACTAAGACTAAAATTGAAAATAGCTGACAAAATTAACACTAATTTGAATTAAGAATAAACAACAAGAAAATGTCAGTTGTAGTTAGTATGCTACTTAATATTGATATTTCTAATTAATATCATTAATGACAAGGTAAAAGACTCTCTTTGTTTAGTTGGCAAAGCTCAAGGGACCTAATTATGGGGAAGGAAGCCCGCAGGAGGTTTGTTGCTAAACCTTAAGCTTCTCCAATATTCAGTCAGCTATCTAACATGTATACACATGAGTTTGTTCAGCCAGAATTTATTTGGTTAACAGCTGTTCTGCGGATTGATTGACTGATCGATCGATTGATTAATTTCACTTCTAGAGCTCTAGAAAGGTGTTACGATGGATCGATCGATTGATTGATTGATTTATTGAATTAAGTCATTTCACTTCTAGAGCTCCAGAAAGGTGTTACTGCAATACATTATGGATGTCAATTAAGACGCTGTAATGAGAAATTAGGAATGTGATGTCATAGCTGGTACATTCTGGTCCTCTTGCACTAATAATATTAAAATAACTATATATCAATGTTTACTGTACACTTCAATGATCATTCCATCAAAAACAAAACAAACAAAAAAAAACTTCTAAAAATGTGATTTTTTTATTATCATTCTTGTGACATTTATTTTGCATATAAAATATGATATTATAATTATATTTGCATATAATTTTGCATATATATTGTCATATAGTTACTACATTTAAGTCAAATAATGTATATGACATGATGTATTATAAAACTTTTTAATGCATCAATATAAAACATATATGTACAAAAAAATACAATAGTTCGTATATGTATCAAAAAGAAGATTTGACAAATAAAACTATAATGGAAAAAATAAAAGTATATTAAGCAGTTTGTACACTGTCCAATGCTCATCAATCCCCAATCCACTCTCAGTCACTTCCGCTGGGCATACTGACGCGTCGGCTCATCTGTAGCTCCATGAATCCAGTTCGGTTGACAACTCTTTTCAAATAATTGCGGAAGATAGAGCTGGAGAAGCAGTAGATGACCGGGTCCAGAGCGCTGTTTAGATAGGTGAAGGCTATGGATGTAGAAAACAACTGACTGGTGAATGTGTAAGCATCACAGTACTTAGGTCCAAGCTTTTTTAAATAGAGTGCCACCAATCCTGTGCTGATGCTGGGAAAGAAGCAAAGGACAAAAACCCCAACGATCACCAGGACAGTCCGAATAGCCCTTTTCCCTTTCTTGACCTTGTCCAACTTGCGTGTACGTAGGATACATGCAATACGCACGGAGCAGAAGACCAGGAGTAGTAAAGGCAGAAAGAACTCTAAGGCAAACACGGTATAATGCAGTTGGATACCTAGTGATGGTTTCTCATAGTTGCTAAAGCTCCTACAAAGAGAGGTGTTCTCCAGAAGTTTGTTGGCCAGCAAAGGGATTCTCAGGGATATCACAACAGCCCAGATGAAGCAGGCAACCCCTGCTGCTTGTTTTGTGCTTATGTAATTGATTTTGTGATGCGGATGGGCCACTTTAAAGTAGCGGTCAACAGCCACAGCGCTCATGAAGGCAATGCTAGCCGAACGGTTGACTGACAGCATGAATAGGTTGATCCGACACCAGGCGTCTCCAAATGTCCAACTCTCGCCACCTATGAAGTTGTCGATGCGGAAAGGTAAGCTGATGAGAAGCAGAAAGTCAGACAAAACCAGGTTGAAGAGGAACATAACGTTGGCCCTCCAAGTCCTAAAGGTTTTGCTGAAGACACACAGTGCCATGACATTGCCAGGCAGGCCGAGTAACAGCTCAATGATGAGTATAGGAGGAAGGACAGATGCCACCAGTTCCTGAGTTGAAGTACCACAGTGATGTGAACTGTTATTGGATGTCATGGTAGTAGGCCCTCCAAGTCCTAAAGGTTTTGCTGAAGACAAACAGTGCCATGACATTGCCAGGCAGGCCGAGTAACAGCTCAATGATGAGTATAGGAGGAAGGACAGATGCCACCAGTTCCTGAGTTGAAGTACCACAGTGATGTGAACTGTTATTGGATGTCATGGTAGTTTAACAGGAAGAGCTGCTGCGTAGTTTCTGAAAACAGAGTTCAGAGATTCACGTTAACAGTTCTTCAACAGAAACAACATTGAGATGTCACTGCAGGAATGTGGTCGTCATGTATAGCAGGCATTTCACTTTGGTGACATTTCTAATTGACTAAATTAAAACTATCTCATGTTACAACACTCCACTAGAATTGGGAAGACGTATAAACTTGTTGCAACAGTGTTTGCGGTGTACAAGGAAGTGTGCCTTCCTGCGTAGTGTAATGCTGAAGCAACTGTTTTAGAGTAACAACAGTTTCATAAACTAGTAGAAGCTAAAGTTTTGTTGCATCAGTATCTGAGAGTGGAAATAATTTGACACCAAAACAGGCAGGCATTTTAACTCTCTGAATGATTCATGTCATCCACAAAAGTTGAGGTTTTTAGAAGACATTTCTAACAATTCAAGAACGGATGTCTCAGCCACCATGCATGACTTCCTTAAAGGGATAGTTCACCCAAAAATTAACATTTTGTCATCATTTACTCATCCTCATGTTGTTACAAACCTGTATACATTTCTTTCTTCTGTTGAACACAAAAGATATTTTGAAGAATGTTGGGAGTCAGTTGCTGGTAGCCAATGACTTCCATAGTATTTTTCCCCATACTACTGAAGTCAGTGTCTACCACCACTTTTAACATTCCAACATTCTTCAGAATATCTTCTTTTGTGTTTAACAGAAGAAAGAAAATGATATAGATTTGGATCAACTTGAGGGTGAGTAAATTATAACTATTTTAATTTTTGGGTGAACTATCCCGTTAACCAACTTTTCTCTTTGTGTTCCATTTAGTATTTTTTCCCCTTTAATTCATATATCAAAGGGGTTAAAATATGTACTAAGGATAAGAATCCAATCTAATATTGACTACTGACCAATATCTAAATTATTTATGGGGTCCCAGACTCTCGAGTAATGAAACTGAAAATGTGTATACCCAAGTATAGCATGCAAATATCTGCACAGCGGACCAGTTTCGACCATGAAACCAAAGCAATCTTATTTCTACCGAGAATTTTGAAATATTTCTGTGTAAAGGGGTAGTACTGTTTTACATACTGTTTACACAGTCAACTTCATTGACATCTACATACTAAAATAAATTGATCTGAAATTAGGACTTTTAATTAAAAAACATTTTTGGTCTCATAGATATTGTTTTCCTTCTATCATGCTCAAATTAAAATAAAGTCATGTTTTGTTATTTTTGGGGCTAAACAAGACCAGGTTTGTTCCTCCTTGCAGAGAGCAGTGTAACAGCAAATTTTACTGATAGCTTGGTATGTCATTTGTGGAAGCTCTCTTTCTAAAATCAGAGAAAAAATTTGCTGTTTTTAATGTCAGGGCATTTCAATTTTGTTTCCACAAAGTACAGGTACTCATTTGAGGTGTTTGACAGACCACAGAGTTCTATGTAGAAAAGATGAATGAAAATGGTAATGCGCACTCTCTTTAGGTATATTATATCCTTGGTTAGATCTTAGAAAAACAGATTTGTTCTATGCAATTTTGGAGTGATGTTTAACATAACTTTCTCATAGTCACCCAACCTGTAACATCGATGTACAAGACCAACTTCACAGTGTTAATTTAGCACTTGCAAATACAGTCCTGTTATCATAAACCACATTTCACCATTAAATATGTCCCAACTTAGAGTGGAGTTCTTAAGTTAGTTCAAATTGTATAAATATTTCTGTAAGAAAAGTTTCTCATGACTTACCAGAGTTGACAACTGACTATTTTGCTGATTGTGTCTTGAGATGTAATCAGAGAGTGTGAAACAAGGTCTGGTTTGAACGAAGCGACCGCTCGGTAGTTGTGTCAAAGCAAGTTTCCTCTGTCTGAGTCATAATGACACGAAGGAAACGCGTCTTACCCAATTATGGAAAATTCTCAACTTATCCTTACATTGCCCTGTTTTAACAAGTTTTGTTTCTTTCAGTAATGCAATATATAGATATGCAATAATGTTTGAAGTATAAGGAAGTGCTGTTGCTGCACAGCAACACTGATGAACAAACTAGCAAGAGTTTCACAAACTGGTTGCATGCCAATATACAACTTGGCATAGATTCAAAAGACATTTTGAGGTATGTCCTGATAAGATCCATCTGAAGCCAAACTCTTCAAGAGAATAAAAAACTGTGCTTCCCTCCAAAAAACGTGGCACATTGCCTAAATACCTACAACACCCTAAGCAAAGTGGATCAGGTTTTCAATCTTTACAAAATTATAAGTGCATTTAACGTAACACTTAAAACATTTTATTCCTCAAATATTGTTTTGACTTACCAGAGTTGACTAGTTTTCTTAGAAAGATCTCACTAAACAGAAATTTAGGGTTCTTGTCTGAGAGAAATGACTGCCCAGAGCTTGCCTCTTAGCAAGCTTCCTCTGCCTATATATGTCGCAGTGACATCAAGATGAATGTGAAGTTGTAGGCAATACTAATGGTTCTTTCTTGCTTTTTCTTTCTTTCTTTCTTTCTTTCTTTCTTTCTTTCTTTCTGAAACTTCGACAGTATGATGTCTGCAGAGATAATATTCTTGCTGTTCAGTTCATAAGCAATAGTTTTAACAGCGGTTACACAAACTGGCAAGGAAGAAAGAGGCTAAACACTTTAACTGGAATTACAAAACAGCTGTATCAAAACATGATGTTTTTATCATGTCCGATTGTGATATACACAGGAAATAGCCATCATTTGTTTCAATAGTGAAAAATAATGAGAGTTTTCATGAGCACCCCCTCATTCATAGCATTGGTTGAGCCAATGTTGCTTTGTTGTGCTGGTCATAATGCTCAAAGAGAGATGTTTTGTGCCTCAGTCTTTTCACTGTTTACACTGTTGCAATGTATGACTGTGGTTACGTACAATTTTCAGAAAGTGTACATGCTAAATAATTACTTTACAGCCACAAATTTTTATCTTTTATATTTTGTGTGTGCAAATTTGCATTGGACTCTGTTCCCCACTAATCAGTCGTTTGACTTTTTTATCACGCAGCAGAGAGAAGCAAGCGTGAGAGATATAATAATGATGCCATGGCAGCTTTTGTATGTCCTGGAGGAAAGTTATTATTTATAGCGATGTGCTTGACTTCCTCTTATTTTTAGGTTAAAGCCTCTTGTGTCATTAGTCCAGCTCACAGAATTGTTTATCTTGACTTTCTATGGGGAACAGAAAATGGATGTGACATGGAGCAGAGAACAAATTTTAATTGCAAATGTATCATTGTCATATTCTGTATAATGAGTGTTTTGGTCAGCTGCATAATGTGATATTTACCTGAAATATCAACTTATATCTATGGCTATGTTCCAAAACATAGTGAGCTGCCTTGCGGTCTGCTGTCTTCATAGGAAGGTGCCTTTTAAATTAAATACCACTGAAATAAAGCATAGCGGTGCATTGCGTGAAGCCTACAGGAGAATAGCCTAAAAATTTATTTCAATAAATATTTTAGGAAGTTGCAAAGCTGAACTGTTTATCATATGCATATTAATATTATTATAAACTTTTTTATAGATGCATATATGAATTAAATGGATACTTATTTATTTTTCTTTTCATAATATATGTTTATAATTGACATTTTTCTCAGTCTGTTGCTATCATTGATGGACTTTTTCACAAAACAAAATGCATTCTGGGATTGCCTTGGAATGTAGGCAAACAATTTTTGTATTTTGGAACAATTTTGGAGTATATTTTGCATCAAGAATGCAGATAACAATTCAACCATAAAACTTCACTAATTCTCAAAAATATTAAGATAAATCTTGGAGACTTGTGGGATGGCTTTAGGCTGACCACAGTCTTCATTTTGACTGTATATGCAAAAGTTGCATGGTTTTAAAGGGATAGTTCAGCCAAAAATGAAAACGCATGCTTTCCCCCAAGCGTAAACAACGCTGATTATGCAGATTACGTTCATGCACGCGCTTTCTCCTCCGAACGTAAATAATGCTGATTACGTCGATTATGCTCTTGGGTACTCTCCAAAATGGCGGAAGACGTAACTTGGGGGAGAAGAATTGTTAAATAAATAATGTTATTTTTGTTTTCTTTGCGCTCAAAGAGTATTCTTGTAGCTTGAAGTAAACGTCTGATGCATATGGCTCACAAAAGTGGAAACACTAAGTGGAATTATACGGGATTTCCGGGAGACGTGTGTGTCGTGTTCTGTAACGTTCCACCTGGAAACAAAGATGCCGTGATGCCAAATCCCCTCACGTAAGAGGAAAGCCGTCGTGTTTAAAACTGTGACGACGAGCGCTTATCAGGATCAACTAAACGCTGGATTCTCAAAAGTATGTGAAATATATAAAGTTCGCGGCATAGAATCTTTAAAATGCTGTGATTGGTTGTTTGACACGTCGGTCAAGCGGCCTCATGGGCGGGCTTTGGCCAATGAAAGCTGCCATGGATTCCAAACCTTCAGTCCTTAATACGTTTCTGTACCTGGGAACATTACGGTCTGAGAGCTCTCAAATTTAATCAGAAATATCTTAATTCGTGTTCCGAAGATGAACGAAGGGCTTACATGTTTGGAGCGACATGAGGGTGAGTAATTAATGACAGAATTTTCATTTTGGGGTGAACTAATCCTTTAATAATTACTACACAAAACCTCTTTTTCATAACATCAAGTGATAACATTCAAAACTTCTGCTAATATGAACACTGATGAGCAGAGATGAGATCTCTTGACCCCATAGTATGCCTAGGGTCCCCGCCCTTTAGACTTTTTATTTCTGTACAGCCCGAGTGGGGATGTCACTGACAGTGATAATATTTAGCCATTGTGCTTTCAGGACTAGAGAACGTAGGTAGTAACAGGAAATGGTATAGATTCAGAAGCTGCTCTGTGCTATTGAGTTGGATGAACTGGAGATGGAGTCTAGAATGTTACTGATGAGAAGGCAGGGCCCTAAGAGTGACGGTGAGTTTTAGGTGGTTTATTGTTTGTGGATAGTGGAAATCATGCATCCATGGCTTATATCTGAATGGATGATAGCGCTTCTCTTGTTATGATTTCTAATGGCAGAGTAAGCATCTGTATTTAACTGGGCATGGCTCCCATACAGGGCATCCAAACAAGAAGTTAGACACATTTCATTACGGATGGACTTGTAGACTTAGAAATATCACTGGGTTAGTTCAGGGTGGGAACTACGGGGGAGCTCGGCTCCCCTTAATAAGACAAGAGAATTGGAGCTCGGCTTCCCTGAAAACGTGATTTGTGAAATTTTGGGGGGTCTCAAAATATATTGACAATGTGTTATTTTGACGTGCAATTTCAGTTTTGTGTAATGTGATCATCGTAGATTATTATGTGTAAAATTGCAAAAATATCATTCATTCATGCATGACGGCGATTTAAACTTAATTCACTTCAAAAAAGATAACTATACATGCTATTCTTGTCATGAGCATCAAGGTGTGGGGGCGCTGCGGTGCAAATTCCACTCATACCTGTATGAGTTTCTCTCTTCTGCTGAACACAAAAGAAGATATTTTGAAGTATGTTGGTTCTACCGAATGCTACCAAAGTCAATGGGGTCCATCAACTGTTTGGTTACCAATATTCTTCAAAATATCTCCTTTTATGTTTTTATGTTCTTAGTGACACCACCAACATAAAAAAAAAAAAAAAAAAACAAGTGTGCTCCCCAAAGTCCACGGTATAGTTCGAACACTGGGTTAGTTGTAAGTAAAATATCATTGGATAGCCTAATGCTCTATTCGCACCAAATGTGAAATGAAAATGCAACAAATATCACAAGAAAACTGCATGGAAACAGGGTATGAAAAACTAATGACTCCTGTACAATTAGTGGCACCAATTGACAGATTTGTTCTGATACAACAGATGATAGACACACCGTTTTTCTTAGCGCTGACAACATGACATACATTTACATTTATGCATTTAGCAGATGCTTTTCATAACCCAGTGTTTACCCCTAATATATATACTTCTATAAGACTGGTCGGAAATAGCCAGATCTATGGCCATAATGCTTCTGTGTATCAGTAAAAAGTAAAAAGGGTTATTACTTCTATTTTATACCTTATATTATATCACATTTATTTTTCTGTAAGTATTATTCAATAGAACTGGCGATGTGCCAGGATTGAATAGGTCCAGTGGAATCTATTGTTTCTAGTCAAACTCCTGTATGCAACGAATATTAAAGGGGTCATTAAATGCAGATTTCAGGTTTTTAGGCTATATTATCTTTCTTGAGGTTAGTTTATAAAGTTTGTAAAGTTTAGTGTTTGTAAAAGTGATACATTTCCATCTTAATTTTCACTCTCTGTGAAAAAGCTCAGTATCAAGGGGTGTTACCTCTTGCAGAAACAGAAGTAAACACCCACTGCTGTGATTGGCTAACTTCAGCGCACCGTATGCATGTCGTGTTTTGATACTCAAGATGGCAAGCACTGTCATACATCCGTATATGTTTGAGCCCGAGTCAAATCCCGAAGCAAAATAAATTAAAACAGACTACTGTTAACACATTTCTTGAAGGTCGATGACAGTAAAACACTAGCTACCCATTGTGTGAAGGGTTATTATTAGCAACAGTAACATAAACTATAGTTAAATGCATTCAATTCACATAATATAGTAAATATTTCTGATCCAGCTATCTACTGATTTCATTAGCAACACAAAAAATTATATGATTTTTAATACAAACACAAACTGTAAGATTAAAAATAAATGTAACTTACATGAGTTGAATCCCAAGATAAACTTGGCACTGCCATATCTTTCAATAAAAGATGTTTTGAAAATACATGT